GTTCTGTCTGTAAGTGTAGCCTAGGTCATGTATATGTTAGATAACACATTTTAATTAAGACAATTTTAAACAAGCCTCAGCAGCTATTGTAAACAGGGAAAGTTATGATTAAAGATGACTTACAGTCATAATCAGACCTGAAAGGTGACCTAACTTTCTGGCCTAGAATTTTAGCTAGACAGTATGGGCACTTGAACACATGCAAGCACTGGAGCACTTTGAAAAGTGCCCAGAGCTGCATTGCTTGTAATTGTATATGCAGCAAAATGCACATCAGCACAAAGAAAATGACAGCGTTCCACTTTTGAACTAAAACACCTCGGAGGTGATTTAGTTCAAAAGTGCACCACCACCATTTTCTCCATACCGATGTGCATTTTGCTGCTTATAGAACTGCAAGCGTGGTGTGCATTCACTCTCGTGTGGAAGAGACTCGATTAATCAAGTCTGCTCCAAAGTGACAGATCTCCAGCGCATCTGAGAACTAACAGGTATGTGTATAAATGTCCTATGAGGGCAGAAAGGAAGGAAAATGCTCATGAGGTCTTCCTAGCTCCTCTCTGGCCCCAAATATTGGGTTAGCTAATTAATATCATGGGATTCTGAAAACAAAAACCCAAATGTGGTATTAAGATGTAATAAACAGATTTTTTTGCTAATATAAAAACATATTTACTTGCAGGCTATATAGTTCAGTTTTGTACTATAGAACCAATCTCTTGAGTTAAAATATCACTCCTATCATTCTGGTTTTATTCATAAATATTTAATCATTATTGTAGGTTCAAACATTTTTGCTTTACAAGTGCAAAACATCTGTGAGTTTCAACAAAATATATAGGTAATTACAGAGAAGAAGTATAGTAAAAATACTTAAGTACATATTAATATTATTTATTAGACCAACTTAAATAGTTGGAAAACAATTATTAAGCAAGCTTTTGGGTTAAAAAACCCTTGGTCAGGCTAAGGAAGTTTCAGCAGTTGGTGTGTGCTCTTTCTGGATGGACTGAAAAGTAAAGAAGCCAGAGTATGGTATGCAGTGAAAATGTAGATTGAGGAGTCAATGGGTGAGAGACAGGCTGGGGGTGGAGGGTGGTGGAAGAGAGAAAGGGGATGAATAGTGGAGAGATACCTTGGGAGTCAGATGTCAGGCAGGTTATAATGTGTCATAAATCCAATATCTATATTTAGTCCATGATTTTTAGTATCCAGGAGGTTGATGAAATGGAGTTCATAGGCCCATTGACTCCTCAGTCTACATTTTCACTGACTACCTGTCTTGTATGCATACCAGACCAGCCTCTGGCTTCTTTACTTTTCATTCCATCCAGGAAGAGCACACACCAACTGCAGAAACGTCCTCAGCCTGACAAAGGGTTTTTGAACCCAAAAGCTTGCTTAATAATTGTTTTCCAACTATTTAAGTTGGTCTAATAAAATATATCATATTTACCCAAAGAACCTTGTCTGCCTATGTCCTTAGACCAACACGGCTACAACCTACACGCCTGTTAACATTATAGGTTTTACTGTAGGAAAAATTGGTGGATTACACTGTCATTCTTATCCTGAAAATTAAAAGACATATGTAACTATTATCTTCAGTGTTGTTTTATCCTTTGGAACCACAATCATTAGTAATATTAAGATAAACTAATACTAATTTGCATTTTATACCACTTTCCATCTGAGAATCTTGTATAACTTAACCAACACGAAATACTCAACTCTTACCAAACTTATGTGAGGGAGGTTGTATTGTATTTGCCCCATTTTTCAAATAGAGAAAGAAGTGTTAAGTCACTTACCCAAGAACAAAGAAATCACTGACAGAAGACCTAGTCAAGAACCTAATTCAGATTTCTAAGGTTTGCTTTATTTGTGGGTAGTAAAAATCTATTTAGAAACAGAGATTTAGCCAGAGAAATCTAGCTTTAATAGGTAAATGTACTAAGAAAAGATCTGTGTCAAAACAAACTAACCACATCTTCACATGTACTGAAGATCTAACTGCTTTTCTACTTTCTTCACAAACTGCCTTCAAAAGAGAGAGGCAATTTCCGAGTCTCTCTGTCCTACCACCTTGTAGTAAGAACCTGAGAAAGGAGCAAAACCTCATGACCTTTAAAAAAGCAATCTCACAGAAAAGGAATTTCACCTCTCCTTGTCCATGAATAATTTATTCTGGCCACATATTCCCTTAGAAGTTGATAGTGTTGGTTCATTCTCTTGTGTTGCCCATACATGACTTCAATTTGATATTTATCTAGTGTCCATTATTGTACTAACCAAAATGCCTCCCAAATATCAAAAGAAATCTCTCTCTGTCTCCTCCCCCCCACATCCTTCCCAACCTATTAAAGTAATAGCTTAACTAGTTTATAATTATATGTGCTCAATTGCCATATGCCTGTTATGAATAACTTACTGAAGCAAAGTTAAGTCAAAGGTATCTGTTTTTTCACTTTATTTCAGAATATAGAATTTGTGGTTGTTTAGAGTTCTAGTACAAGATGAAATTTCTCCATAGATGAAACTCCATATGATTTCTCCATAGATGAAACTCTTTCAGAAATTCTGTCTTGGGCATTTATAACTTGCTCTCTTGGCTTCAAGTGTTTGGTACCACTAAATGATGGCACAGTAAAGGACGTACTAAATGATAGCACAGTAACAATAGTGCCATAGGGGCATATTCATATGTGCCCACTGAGCAGCATCCAAATGAAGTGCCTGTATATAGAAGAGGGCTTAACGATTGCTTCTTCAATGCTGCGCTCAGGCTCAACATACTGCATTTTCTTAGGGGCATTGCTAAGTTTTTAGAACTAAAGGATTTCTTCCCTGCCTTGGGGTGACAATACTGGAAACTAAAGTAAGAATATGGGGAGGTCTCTTCCCTTTCAGCATGGAAGGGAACACATGCACACTCACAAACATACATGCTGGTCAAAGGTGGAAATTCACTACTGGATTTGGTAGACAGAGGATGGCAATGCTTTTTATATAGCATTTTGACTTGTTTTGTATAGCTCATTCCCTCCAGTACAGTACTCTACAGTGAAAAAAAAATCACATGAACAGGTTGTAAGCCTTACAGATATTAAAATAAAATGAAATAATATAAAATAAAATAGACTCTGCATGATTCAAATGCATTTCTAGATCAATTTAGTAATTTTGTTGTGTAGCAGACACATAGTAAGCCATCTGCAAATTTTCCTCTTCTAATCTTCAAAGCCTTCAGACAGCCTAATGTTCAATAAAGACCAGGGCCCTTTAAGTTTTTACTTTGACCTGCCATGAAAAATATAAAATGACTACAAGAACTTACTATGCATTATTTCACTCAGCTTCTTTTGCTGCAGGTTATACAATAAGATGTATCACACATTTAACAATTGTTAGTAAAATGGCTATATATATATAACTCATATTCCAAAAGTAATTTCTATTCAGGCAAACACATACTTGAATTTTCCTATTTTTAAGTATTAGAATTTATTTTCTAATTATTTTATAAGATCATTTATTTATAACACAGCTTGATTTTTTGACAAATATTATGTGCTTTATCTGTTAGAGATCCCCAATCCCTTCTGTCTTAGTTATTTGAGCCTTAAGGAAAAATCATTGTGATGACTAATGCACACAAGGCATAACCATCTGGGTGAAAGTTGTGGAACTAGGCTTTAGACAGGCATGATAACATATCACAAACCCTTCATTAGGTATCATTCACTTATAGCATACTTGAGACTCAAAAGAAATTGCAAATGAAATGATTACACTTTACAAAAAATTAGGCAAAGGAAAAAGGAGCCACTTCAGCATCTTAAATAGATTTGGATGGGCTATTATATTAGCAGCAATGAAAGTTATTCAATGTGAAAATATTTTGATTGCAGTTTCTGCAGGTATAAAACAACAGCTTTTAGAATCTACTTCAATTACATTCACAGATCTGCGTGACACCTGCTTCTTTAAGGTTCGGTCATGCAAGGCACTAAGGACTTTTGCCATCATCCAGCAAAGCACTTACGTAGTGCTTAACTTTGAGCACCTGAGTAATCGGATCTGCTGAATATACTGAGTATGGAACATTGGGTTCTGGCTATAGGACCACAGATGAACTCTATTAAGATTAAATCAGTACAAAGACTCTGGCAATTCTAAAACCAAATTGAGATTTTATGAAGTTTAGCCCAGGTAGTTAAAATATAAACTTAAGTCATTCTTGTATCAATATTTTATTGGTTAAAATACCTTTCTTGGCTCTTCTCAGGTTAGAAAGAGACATAAATCTTAGATGTTTCAGCTGTTAAATTAACAGCATTTGTCTTACTAAAAAGTATATGCATTATTTCTGTTTTCTTAACTGTCCAGATTAACTAAAAAATCCATGCATCATGTAATTAGAAAAGCCAAGCCAGAAAATACAACTGAATTAACTGCTGATTAATTGTTGGGGTGAATAACCATATTATGGTTACTGCACACTAATAGCTTAAAACAAACAAAAATTCTAATAAACTGGAGCCAAATATGATCTGCTTCCTAACAACTACAGTAGGCAAGTAAGTGGATTACAGGCTACTTCTGTCCCTTTCAATCCCAAACAATATATTTCTCAACAAGGTTGCCCAGATCAACTAGCAGCAAACGTGAAAAATATTATGTTCTGCTAAACACTTAGAATGGACAATGCATAATTTTATGAGAAAAGAAGGTATCCATTTCCAAAAACTTCTATCATTGTGAGGAAAGGAGGGAGGGAGGGAGTGAAAGAGGGAAACTATTTAGAAACATTAAATGTACAGTATATTTAATAAAAAAACTACAATCTAGGTAATCTTTTGAGTGCCTGCCTAGGAAACTGAAATCTTTAATATTTAACATGCTAAATGCAAGTAGTTAGGGAATGAAATGAGCAATCTTATTTTAGGATATTTATTATTTATACAAAAAAATCAAATGTATTTATCAAACTTATTTACCTTTCTTGTCATCAAAATAGAGAGTCTGTTGAGCTGGATTTGACCACTGGAGGGAAGTGTTATCATTTTGATCAACCCTGCAAGTCAAATTGGCCGTTCCTCCTTCAACAACTGTAACATTCTGCGTCAGTGGAAACTGCCCTTGGCTACCTACGGAAGGGGTAAAAAGAAAATACATTAAATTTGTGGAACATAATTTATTAAATTACTTTCCACAGTCTCTACACTATGAGTTTGATGTTATATATACTAACTAAACACAAACACAATTAAAATTGAAAGGAAATGTACATGTAAAACACATTTGCATATCAGAGGCATAGCCAGGTTAATTTAAAGACTAGGTGTTATTTTTTAAACAATGCTCATTACCATTTAGGAAGTAGACTACAGTCCTTGAAACTCGGCAAGAGACACACTCCAAGACTGCCAGTCAACATATACTTCTTTGTTATAAGAATCTTTTAATAAGTAGCTGCAGAATAGTGCTACTTTTATACCAGTGATGATATCTATATAAAAAACCCTTAAAATAAGGAAGAGAGGTAATATATTTTATATGTGCAATTATGTTTTCATTTCAGATATTCTCCATACTTGATTCTTGATTGATGAACTATTTTGCTCAGATTATAATATTTCCTACTTATTAATAACATTTAAAAATTTTTTCCCATCCATATTAATAAAGATAACTCTGGTTTTATATAGTTTCTTTATGAATTCCACTGTGAGTGAGACATCTATTTTATCACGTTAAGCAGTATTGCACTTTATTCTAAAGATATAAATGGAAATATACAATTTTAAAATGTGAAAGATGCTGACTGAAAAAGTTGTGGAGGCGTTTTGAAAGGTTCCTAGTTTGTTTTATTCTTCAACTACTTAATGTAACCCACGATGTAGCGTGTGATTAAATGAAAATTTAGCAATATGTTATGCAAGGCCAAAACATGTTAGCTTAAATGGCTTGGTATTAGAATAGGTTATGTTTAAATCAAGTAATAACAGCATTATATTGATAGTAATATGGTTAGTAGATAGATATATCTATCTACTAACCATATACACATAATATATATATGGTATATATTATGTGTAATCATTTATATATGTAATCAAGGTATGAATTTAGTAGTATGACTGAGTGAGAGAATGCAGAGTTTATGGAATGTTTATTGGGCCTGCGTAAGCAGGAGGAGGTTTGTTAAGGTGCTGAAAATGAAGTTACCAGACAATGAACTGTTAGATGGATGGCTGAAGAACCAGTCTGTGACCAGGTGCAGAGGATACAGGCTAAGCAACAGGATAAAGGAGGAATTCTGCACGTCCTGCAATTTAGCCTAAACAACTTTCAAGGCTGGAAGACTGACTTTTATGACAGGAGCGACTTCAAGTTGAGATAATGAAAAGAATGATGATATGAGGATGGAAAAGTACCTTGACTTCGGACAAAGATTTGCACTCCCTGTAACAGTGGGATCCAACAATGCAGAGTGGGGAATTCACACTCTGCAACATCAGGGAGCACAGACACGTCTGTTCACCCCCACTCCCATCACCCTCAATGAGCCTGAGCTGGCCACCCAACATTGAGCAAGCAAGCTGGTAACTATAACAACTACATAGAGTGTGTGTCGGTGTGTGTTTGTCTGTGTGAATGATGAGTGTGTTTGTCTTTGTGTTTGTTTTTGTGAAGTCTTTATATGTTTTTGTTCTTTGTAATCAATAAACGTGGCACTTTCCTTATCCCCCCTCATAAGGTCTCGCTCATGATTTGAGCAAAAGGCAATTTGTGTAATGATGATACTTCAGGACAGACTAATGTAGTTAAGTAGAAAAAAGTACTACAGTAGCAAGTCCATCCTTGTGCATGTCCAGGTTCTACTCCTTCAAAAGAGGAGGTATCAATTCATGCTACCCTTGCTCTTAGAAAAAAATCCAAAACTGGTGGACAAAATCACCCACAACACTGCAGTTTTTTTCTAGACTATTCTTTTTCTCTGACTGTAGAAAAAGATTAACAATATCTATCTATAGATACTATATGACTCATATAAGTTTTCTATATCAAATTCATATATAATTTTTTGAAATAGTGTGTGTTTTTACATCCCCTTTAACCATATACTTCGTATAAACCCCCCCCTTCCAGATATATGACATATGATAAAGCATATGCAAAAATACATTCCAGATGTTTGCATGAGCCAGTGTGCTATAAGGACCAAAATGGAAAATTTCCTTACAATCCTAAACAGAGTGAGCGGAGAAGTTTAGGACTAGGACATACAATAACAGTAAATAGATTATCATAAATTACAATATGCCAGTGATTATACCAAATATTATACCACAGATCTGTCATAATACTTTAGGAGAAATTACACATTTTAGAGGCACTCATCATACATCTGTTCTTAGTTAAGAAAGAGTTGGGGATACATCCAATAAATGGGGCAAGATATGATTAAGAACTAAGAAAAACATGTATGTATGTAAAGGAGAAATGTGAGCAATTTACACACAAACTACTGTTTGATTTCATTGTGTTGCCAAATTAGAATCCACACTAAGTTTTGTCCAATGTCTAATACACTATGGTCTTCATCTGTGTGTACAAGTAGCATATAACAAAAAGCATTAACAAAACCAGTAATTCTGTCAGTAAATTCAATAAAGGTGAAAAACAAACTGACTATTCTCTCATACCTTCAAGTGTACCTGCTCACATCCTAATTCAGAACAAATACATTTATGAGTTCGTTTCCTTTTCTGTATCCTTGTGACTAGGTATTTAACAGAATACATCCAATTAGCAGAATACATTTACTAATTCATGGATTTGTTGGAATCTGACATGGCCGTGCCATGAACACTTGTGCTATGGCCTCAATCTTGCAACCTCTGGGCTGTCAACCATGCATCTTAGCACTTGTGCCAAACTAGCCCCCAATTTATGGGTAATGCTGCTGGATACCAGAGGCATAACAAGTAAGTTATGCCCTGGATAAAATTTTGCCAGACAGTGTGGGTGGGAGGGGTGACATTGAACTGGAGAGGTGCGCTGAGTGTCAGAGTGCAGGGACAGTCAGTCTTACCTGCTCTGGTGTTACCGCCACAAGACAGTCTTCCTATCCCCAGCTTTTGCTGCTACTGCTACAGCAGCAGGCTGTCCCCACACCTGGCTGCTAATGTGGTGGCATGGAAACTCTGGGGGCCATTATTTTGGTGCCTCACCTTAGCTGGCACCTGGGGCTGGTGCACCACTCACCCCAGCAGCATACCTAAGGGACAGTTGTCAGGCACCATCCCTAGGTGCCGAGGTCACAGATTGTTAGGAAGGGACCTTGTAGATCATCGGGTCCAGTCCCCCTGCACTAGGCAGGTCAGGGGGAGGGTGCAAAAATAGCAGCTACTGCATGGTTGGCCTGGTTGCCACCCATGTCAATAGCTATATATCCCAGAGTGCAGAAGTGCCCAGGTAGGCTTCTGGCTGGTCCACCCTTAGTTGTGCTACTGCTGGATATACTGTTCCTTTTCTAAAGATAACTATGTGTTCTTAAACATACATTTATTACTGCATTGATTTGTTGATATATGTTGAACAAAATAACAGATTGGTAACTATTATAAGAAAGCTAATCTCTCAAAATGAAATAAAATATTTCCAAAGTAGCTTTAAATCCACTAAAAACATACCTACATCTTGTTTGAGACCATCAATATCCAAATTTAAGGAAATAATATTGGATGAAAACCAGTATTTTTTTAGGTCTTTTTATTATTGACTAAATAAGATAAAGACTTCTTATACAATAGGTCATTTGAGAAACAAATACTGGAAATATTGGAAATACTGCAGCTAAGTTAACCATACTAGACAATAAATCCCAACATTTTCATGATACCCAAAATATCTGACAATTCATTAATCAAACCCAGCTTCTTGGAATCCATACTCTAAAAAATGATGAGTTAAAAATTGTAAAGAAGAAAGAAAAAGATGAAAAGATTTGACCTTTTTCTCAATTATCCCTTGCAAAATCTGGTGGGCCAATGAATCTTAAGATTATTCTGATGGTTTAGAGTTTTAAAACTCCAGAAAACATGCACAGTCTGTTATTTCTTCTACTGAAGCACAGGCAGCTTTCCAAACATAAAAGCCATATGAATTGTGGCTAAGTAGCTATAGCCATTTAAAAACCTGTATGGAAACTGGAACAACTTGCCTACCATTAAATCCAGCAGATAGTTCTAGAGGAGTTCAGTCAAATTTTGTTATTTACATTATAGAAAAGAAAACACGTTAATAAAGAACTGTTGTGCACCAACTGGTCAAAACCTTATTGTACTGATTTGCAGAATCTGTCTATGAACAAGCTTTATTAACATTCTTGTTGATGTTATAAAGTTGTACTTATAAATCTACTGACCCATGGAAGTTACCAAAATCACCAAATGACTAAAAGGTTGTATCACACCCCTCCTAGAACAGGAATGATGACCAGCTGTTAAATATTACTAGCTGCCCATTCAGGTAAGGAACACTTACAGAATATGAGTTGACAGAAAGTAGAAGAATACTAGCTTTTACCAAACTCCCTACAGAAGGCTGGAAGTTATAAAATCATGACATGCAGTACAGTGAATCAATGGACTGGAAGGGACCTGTAAGATCATTAAGTCTGGTCCTCTGCCATACACAGGAGGTTAATGAGCATAAACTAGCTCAATGAGGTACTTATCCAGCCTCCTCTTGAACACTTTCAAGGGTGGCGACTGCAGCACCTCTGCCAGGAATGGGTTCCAGGTTCTAGTTTCCTTTACAGAGAAGTTCTTCCTTTTGTCCAGCCTAAATCTGCCCTGTATTAGTTTGTACCCATTGGTTCTTGTCCTCCCAAAGAGGGCCTTCCTGAAGAGTTGCTCCCCCAGATCTTGGTGCTCTCCCCACCCTTGACATACTTGTAGGCAGCTATGAAGTGACCTCTCAGCCTCCTCTTACTCAGACTGAACAAGACTATTTCCCAGAGTCTCTTCTCATAATGCCTATCCTTCAGGCCCGTAATCATGTGGGTGGACCTTCTCTGCACCCTCTTGAGCTTATCCGCATCCTTCTTGAAGTGCGGTGCCCAAAACTGGGCACAGTA